TGAGAAAGATGGTTTTCCAACAAGTTAGTAGGCACTTGTTGTGTGTGGTTGAATTGTGTAATATTAGTAAGTAGTCAACTGTTAGAAATGGATTTTAGTATGTGTATTGAACTATAAGCTACTACGACTCTGATTCTGTATTATTAAGTATTTTGTGTGTGGCTATATTTCTCATAGTACCATTGTTATAGGGACTTATTCTTATAACTATGATATGACTCACACCCTGATTCGGGAATATTCTTTATTTCCAGATCGAGGTGTGACATAGCCTCACCCGTAATTTCTGGATCCGAAAATTGTGTGCATGCAACATGTTAATGACTAATTTTCATTTTAAAATTAACCTGATGCACAATTAATTTATATACTTAATAGTATACGTTGAATAATCCAAATGCCATACCCTACATCTTTAAGAAGATAATAGCAAGTTGGCTACTATACTAGCTAGCTAGTTTGCTTATCATTTCCCGGGAGCCCGAAGACAAACTAACTACATGCAATCCCAATGAGGTTGGTTTTTAATTATGAGGGCTCAAAGCTGTACAATTAAAGACCCAGCAAGCTTGAAACCACTTTTGCCACCTTTTTCCCAAAATGGAAGCTTGAAATTCCTCACACTCTAAAGCAAGTCGCTATGACCTTGCGGACTCTGAGGAGCCCAATTAAGGAGCTTGAATTTCAAGACGCCCTTTTCTAGCTTGTCTCTAGCTTTGCTGCTTTTCTCTTTTGTATGCTGGTGCCAAAATAAATGCGTGGCTACATCCTGTCAGATCAGATCAGATCTCATCCATCCATATCCAATGCTTCAATATTATTCTTCTTCCTTACATTTTTAGCTACTTTTTATTATTGATAAAAGTTCCCTAACAGACTACCCCACTTACCCCACCCCCTTCAAAGTCCCTACATACACACCCAGATTATTGTTGATGTTCTTTTCAATATTATTTATACTGCTTGTTTGAACCGAACTAGTTAAAATATATATATATATATATATATATCCCCATTTTGGATGACCAGTTTTCCAAAAAGAAGATTCAACTCATTTGTTTGTAGCTTTCTTTGCCTGGATATTCCTTTTACAGAAGACAAAATGCTCACATGAGGTTAACTTTTACCTAGCATTGCTTGTAATGGAACGCGTTACTTTCTAAATTGTCAATTGATTTTGGAGTGGAATTTTAACTTCCTTCATATAGACTAAGTTCGTGTGTAAATATTGAATCATATTTAATTAACTAGGTAGATTTATCCTTGTTCGTGACATACGTGTGTGATTCACCCTATGGAAAATGGTACTAGTAAAGTCTTTAAGTGCTTGCTGCAGTTTGAAAACAATATTATTATATTGCACATGCATAACTGGAGTCAAGTTTTAGGCCAAAAACTTAATTTTAGGAATGAATGATAAACGCTCGTTTGGTTTGGTTGGAGTATATTAGGCAGGACAAAATCACTTTTAGGGAGAATCATCTCCCATGTGCTTCTTCGTATAATCATTTTAAGTGATTTTGGGGAGAGGCACCGCTCATATGCTTATCCATAAAATCATTTAAAACCGCCTAAAGTGATTATATAAAGAAGTTACTCTCCATAGAAGTGATTTTTGGCATATCCGGAATCACTCCCAAACGAGTTCTTATTCTAAAAAGCAATTAATTATTTCAAGACCTATTATTACATTGATAAGCGTTGGGCCCTTTTTTCTTTATTTTAAAACCCTTGAAATATTGAATGTAAAACCATAGAAAATTGTAACGTTACATCATAGGTTTCTGGTAACACAAGTTAAAACCCTAGAATGATTGCGTTATGCATGCGCATTTATATATAGAGCAGCAAGAATTATAGCGTATATAGATGCAACGAAAGCGACCTGGTGTATTGCACTTGAAAACAAGAGGATGACATAAGAGACTTGTCCTACCGTCTGATCCAAGTTAGAGGCTGATGCAATACCTGCACGGTGTTTCAACTCTATTCACTCTCCGTATTAGCTGTAAGTTTTTAATTTTTTTTAATTTTTTTTTTCATTATCAAATTTGGTCAATGTTCTGGTTCTATATGTGCAATCTCTCTCTCAAGAGAAAAAAGAAAATGTACGCATTATTGGAGAAATTTGTGAGTGTAACACATTAACACGTGGTGTTATTAATTTACGTATGATGAATTTAGTGTATAATGTTAATAAATAGATATATGTATTATAACAAGACTCTAGTGGTATCACCAAGTGATGTGACCATCACATCGAAAAAGTACGTGTATTCACTTCTCCTATTGCTTGCAAAGAAGGAATTATTGTGTGATACTAGAACACCATCACAAAGTACATTCCATTTATTTTATTTATTTACATTTTTTAAAATTTCAAGAAATAAAAAGAACCCAAAAGATTGCAGTAGTGAGGTACAGAAAAATTCAAAAATCTTTTTATCATGGATATCAATTAAAAGTTGTGGAAGACATGGGATTTCCACAAAATCTCCACGGTGAGACAAAATTAGTTTAAAATAGATTTAATGCTGACAATGGTTAAAGCACTTAAATAAAATAAAAAACAAAAAAGTTTAACTCCTTAAAATTGAGGAGGAGCTCTTTCTTACAACCAACGTGGTTTTGACACATGTTAAAAAAATTTAATATTCTTTTTTTGTTGTTGAATCTTTGTCAATGTTGCTGGAATTTGACAACGGTCAAAACCCCATTGGTTTTAAGGAGGAAATCCTCCTTGATTTTAAGGAGCCAAGCCTTGCTCATCAATAAATAAAAAGTTACAAATGCTTAATGTAACGAAAAGAAAAATATTTTCCTCCTTACCATGTAAGTAGGAGCTCCTACATTCCTCACAATAGCAAAGTGACATATGTGTAGAATTTTTTATTTTTTATTTATTTTTGATGAATTAGTTTTGCATATGTGTCAAGCTGTGATTTGCAAGGAGTATCTCCTTACACATAAGGAGGCAAACAATATCCTAACACAAAATGCTAAACTGCTAAATACACACACTTTATTTAGCAGTGTTGATAAACTATATATATATATATATATATATATATATATATACATTATCAATCTAATGACTGACTTATTTTGATTGACGTTGGTCATTTAAGAGGTTAGCCATGGGGAGAAAAATCCTAGCTGCTAAGAGAGAGAAAAAGAAAAAGGGAGAAAGCTTCATAATCCGGGGGTTTTCCCTGAAATTTGTCCGTTCTTCTATGTTTTTCTCTTTTGGTGGACCTATGTCAATTTATGGTAGATCCACTGCTCATTAGTGCGTTGAGGCCCTAGAGTAACTAGGTGACATTCTCTATGTCATGTCCCAAAAGGGGATTAGTGGCGGCTAGTTTTCCCTTCGTCGGCATTGCTTTAACTTTTTTATTTTGGATTAGTTTGTTCAATAAAGTCCAGATACTCTATGAGTTTTCTATGTTTTTTTTTCTCTCGTGATTCCAGAAACTTAGTTGAGTTTGCTGGGTGTTCTTAGGCTTTTTAGTAGAGTCATGTCGTTTAGCGGCTAGTTTTTTTCATTGTTGTCATTGCACTAGATTCGGAGAAATTATGGTGATTGAAAGGGGTTATAAAGAGTCATTTCAAGAATAATTCTCTCTAGATCGTTTCAGCTTATTGGTTGGCTCAGGGTACTGGCCTCTATAAGTAGGGAAGTTTAACATGTATCTAACATATTGTTATTGGGATCAAGGGTGGAGCCATAAAGAGACCAGTGTGGTCCTGAACCCCCATCATTTTTATATTAGAAAATATTATATATTAATATCTTTTATGATACTTCTAATATTTCTTCAAGTTTACATCTTTTTTCATGTTTTAGATCAATTTTCTATAAATTTATTATACATAGTATTATTTTTTAAACAAGTCCTTCAAATCTTAGAGTCATTTTCACCAATTTCTCTAGATTTGTGACTATTTATTCTCTTATTCTCCATATATTATATTATCAAGTTTCAAATATTTTTTTGGCCAAATTATCAAGTTTCAATTGGGGTGACTCACTTGATTAAGATTGTTAATTTTTCTCTTTTATTTATTTATTATTTTCTCTTTACCTATGGTTTGTTAGGGTTTGGGAAAATTTGAATTATTCTCTATTGAGTTCAATGGATCTTTCAACTAATTTGTGGATTACCAAAAGAAAAAAAAAAGTGTAAAGATTTCATTACATATGTATTATATATGATGTTTTGGTATTTTCGGTTACTTTGGAATGTATTGTGAGTTCGAATTTTTTTTTATAAATATTTTGTAAGAGGCCTCCTTACACATGAAATCCTGACTCCATCATTGATTGGGATAACTTTTTTACCAACCAAAAAAAAAAAAAAAAAAAAGGTTAGCCTGAAGGGGAATTAACTAAAAGCTAGGATTTAAAATCACTAATAAATCTCAAGGTTATTTCCCTTTTAAAAGCTAGCTATATAGCTACTTAATAAAGATAACTGGATTTATTATTAAAACCTGCATTAATTCATGGAAATGGTTTGATGTTTCTTTTTGGGAGATGTTGTGGTCTAAATAAAAAAAAATAAAGCTTTTTTTGAATACATGAGATAGTCTAAACTACAAGAGGAGGATAAATTTCTCACACACATTACCAAAAAATCATGAAAGTTCGAACTTGAAACAACAGGTTTGCAAGTCAACATCATTTTTTACCTTGACAACAATGAAGCTTTTAATTGCGTACGTGGGTTGTGTTGTGTGTGTGGGGAGACTAAAAATCAACCAAATCAAACATCACTCTCCCACACGAAAAGCAAAAGAAATCCAAAATTGACTGATAAAGAGCTGTGAAAGTAATTTTATCTCAACAAGAGAGAATGATGAAGCATAAAGAAGAAGCAGCGCCAGGATTTCAGTGCTTGTACTGGTCAGCGGCCAGCCCAGCCATATATATGTAAAAATATAAAATAAATATATTGGGAGAAAACCCTAGCAATGTAGCAAAAGCCTGCAAGCTCTCAGTAGGTGCAATCCTTGACCCTAGACAAGTATGCCAGAAAAAAGATAAATAAGATTTCAACCCTTTGATCTCCCATCGTGGGCCCCACCTGACACCCAATATCTTCTCCTTTTATTTCATCAACTCATCTTTTTAGTGTACTTTGTAATTGCATCATGCATGCTTTCCCTCAGCTCAGCTCCCTTCACTAAAATTCTGCTCCAATTCTCTCTCTCTCTCTCATAAACCTTTTTTTTTGTGAGTCTTGGATCAGTCTTTCTAAAGCTGCAAACTAAAGAAGCTAGAGCTAGAGGGTTTTTATTTTTTATTTTTGTTCTTCATTCTTTGTTTTTACCAAACTCATACTAATCTGATCGAAGTGCTTTTGGGTGATCTTTGATGTGATAATTGATCATACACTCCACTTGATCAATCGATAGATCGAATTCGCCTTCCCAGTTGTTATATGTTCTAAATCAGAAGATCATCACTTGGAAAAAGCCCACAGAAAAACATGGAGATTAATATTGATTACACAGGTAAGCTGGCAATAAACTCCTCTGGATTGGATCTGGAGGATGATCATGCTAGTATGGAAGATCCCATCCTCCATCAGATTTCCTCCTACGAATATTCTTCTCTTTGGCCAAACTTGCCTCTCCCTCATCATCCACTACATCAAATACCATCTTCATCCACTGCTCCTCCTCCTCCTCCTCCTCATCATCATCATCATCAATCAATCGCTGATCATCATCATCATGATCATCAAATGCTACTACTAGCTGGCGGGAATAATAACAACATTTTTGTGGAATTAAATGAGCACGAAGATGATGAAGAGGCAGGTGATGGTGGCGGTGGTGAGGAGGAGCTTGGAGCTATGAAGGAAATGATGTACAAGATCGCAGCTATGCAACCGGTGGACATCGATCCAGCCACAATCCGGAGGCCCAAACGGAGAAACGTGCGAATCAGCGACGACCCGCAAAGCGTGGCGGCCCGTCACCGGCGGGAGAGGATAAGCGAGAAAATCCGCATCCTCCAAAGACTTGTTCCGGGGGGAACTAAAATGGACACAGCTTCCATGTTAGACGAAGCCATTCGCTACGTCAAGTTCTTGAAGAGGCAAATCCGGCTACTTCAATCATCTTCATCCTCATCAGCGTCGTCAAATAATAATCATCAGCTTCATGATCATGATCCTCAATCAGCAGCAGCTCATGATGATCATGATCATGGTCAATGCAATATTAATATTATTAATAATATTAATGGATCATCATCAGTTGGTGCCAGAGGCGCAGGGTTGCCTTTGGATTGGCCGCGGCATAATATTAATGTGTGAATCATATTAACACAGCACAAAAACCCAACAATCATCATGCCGCAGCAGCCGCCGCCGACGCCGCCACCACCACCTCCTCCGCTAGAAACCCTCGTCACTAGACAACGGGGCGGGTCGATCCACGCAGCTGCCTACAATTAATTACTAGTACTACGTAATCCTGCTGCTGCTGTTGTGTGCTGAGTGATGATTAGACATATATTAGACGCGTGTGGCTGATTAATTTTATATATAATTGTGATTGTGTGCTAATTAATTAGTTAAGTAGATGTGGAAGGGAAGATGTCAGTGTCTCTCTCTCTCTCTCTCTCTCTCTCTCTCTCTCTCTCTCTGGTCATGTATTATGTATATGATTGTTATTTGTGTGGGAGGTAGCTATAGCTTGATAGCTTGATAGCTTGATAGCTTGCTAGCTAGCAAAAGGTTTGTTAGGATTTTGTTGACTAAGGGGCTGAAGAATAATCATAACGGTTTGCTTGCCTTACGTACTAGTACAACCATACCATATATCAAATATAAAATATATAAACCATATATTATAAATAACATCTCTCCCTGGAATAAAACAGTGACGCAATTAGTACCTATTGAATATCAATATATATATATATATATATATATATATAATGGTAGAAGTGGTAGAAGGGTTGTCACTTTTGTAATGTTGCATCCCTTAGATTGTATTGCTATATATCTAAATGTTGGGTTGTAACTAATACGTAGATAAGAATGTTGAATTTGAACTTTAAACTTGGTTTGATGGTACTTTGAAGTTAATGATCTTGGGTTTGTTACTATTTTTTTTTCTTTTAGTGGTAGATATAGAAGTCAAGGGACATTATCAATTTTTTATTTATTAAGGGGCATTTTGGTTGATGAGGAAGGTTCACAACGCTGGGAAGTAGTTGCAGCCCTGCTTGGATCACCAATCACCAAACCAGCATGACTAAACTCTAAAAGCTCACAAAACAGCAGGGTCCCTAAAACTGTGTGACAAAAGATGACAAGCGCCCATTAAACCAATGTAATGTGAGTCTCCCCAACAATGTAAATAAACTCCTTAATCCCTTCCAAACTAAGGAAAAAAAAAAACCTATGATGATAGACACGTCGAATTTTAGTGTCTCTACAAAACAAATTGAACACAACCAAAATTCTTACATCATTCAAAATCAGACTCTGGATCTACATCCACAATATCAGGAAATGAACCAGCATCTGAATCATTGCCCGTTTCAAATGCAACTCCCATGCTCTTCTCAGGATTTGAAGCAGTAGCGTAATTGTCTCTGCCAAGAGACTCATTGCCTTTAGCCACCAGAACATCCACCGCATTGCTATCTGCTTGATCTGATGGGCCACTTTCCAAATCAACCGTCCCAAACACTTCTTCAGTAATAGTAGTTCCAGCAACTGAAACAATATTTGGAGACACGATATCCTGATATTGAACTATCGATTCTTGCAATTGGTGGGATTCAACCATATTTTCATCCCCATTGCCTCTCATGTCCACATCCTCAATGGTTGCTGTGAGCTCCTGTGCACTTCCTGCCACTACTACATTTTACACTTTGCGCGATGAAGGGACTTTCGTCGCGCAAAGTAACATTTCGTCGCACATAATTATGCGCGACAGAAGATTCGTCGCGCATATTCCGTCGCCCAAAGATCGTGAAGAAAGACTTTGCACGACCAAATAATTGACTTCGTCGTGCAAAACGGTCGACGTAGCACCTTCGTTGCAGAAAAGTTGTAGGGACGAAACGACGGTTGGAAGCACGAATTATTGCGCGGCGAAAGGCTTTTCGTAGCGCAAACAATGCGCGACGGAAAAGTTGTCGCGCAAGATTAGTGCCGCACTATTTTGCGCGACGAAAATACTTTGTCGCGCTCAATTGGCGCAACAAAGGACTCTTCGTCGTGCAAACCTTGCGCGACGAACAAGCATCTGTCGCGCATACATATTTTGCGCGAAGAAAACATTTGTCGCACAAGCATAAATTAAAGTGTATAAATTATTATTTTCACGGTTTTTTTTTAAAGTGAGTTTGCGTGACGAGAAACATTTTGTCGCGCAAAATTTATACAGATTATTTAAATTTAATATTTCTTTTTTTTTTTTTTGTAAAAAAATAAATTTGGTTTTTTTTTTTTTTTGTAATAAAATGAAATTGCAATCCAAAAATGAATTGTAAAGAATATATTTATTATATAAAATTAAAGAAATGTAGATTACAAGAGAAATATTTAAAAAATAATTATGAAAATTATAAACTAATCAAATAATGTTCAAAAATCTACATGGTCGTCAGGCATATGCGGCTCGGGGATCTGGGGGTCTACAGGGGCCGTGGTCTGCTGGGAATGCTTTGGGTGGACAGTCTCGGATGTCGACGCACCAAAATTCGGGATTAGAATGCCGAACCACGCGAGGGGCTGTAGAATCACCGACATCTGACCCTCAAGCTCGGCAACCGCGATGTCAAAACAGTCACCTGACTGTTTGCCTGCGATGATGACTGGGGTCGAGGTTCCCTCTGTCGGGCATTCCCCATCCCTCTACAATATGTTCCCGGCCTCCTTCTGAGAGTCTGATCCAACGTCTCCGTCAAGATCTGAAATCTAGCATCCTGTGGAGGATCCACAGACTCGGTCGGAGTCTCGGGAGGAAGTTGGGAGGCAGACTCCTGAAGAACCAACTGGCTCCCCTCCACCATCGTCGTTTGTTTAATGTAACATAAAATATAAATTAAAACATGCATATAAATTGAATGCGTAACGTATAAAAAAAATCATACTTACATGAAGGGACTCGGCCAACTCATTCCCAGGTTGAACATAAACGTCACCAAAGACGTCGATCTCTAGGAATTTCGACCCCCCCTAAATTGAATAAGAGAAGAAAAATATTAGTATGAACAAAATAAATTAATAATAATGACATATTAAAAATTAAATAGAAATGATATTATTATTACCCGCCGCCGTGCATCCATCCTATATGAGAATGGCCTGGATCCAGAATGGTGGAGCTTCTTCCTATTGCCCTTATTCACTTGGGTTTTATTCTGTTATACAAAAAATAAAACATATTAGTTTAAATATAAAAAATTAAATAATAATGAAATATAAAAACATTAATAAAAAATATGAAATAATTAAACAAATACCACATAATCGGGCGCCTGAAAATGAATGCAGAGCCATGCCCAACTATCCTCCCGCCCCTCAAGCTCCTTCGGGCAACCCTCCCGAAGAGCGACTTCCGGATCATCAAACGCCTGAAAATGGTGGTGCAAGTCGCTCTTCCACTGCTTGTACCTCTCACCGAAGAGTCTGTTGATGTACGCCAACGACTCCTCGTTGAGGTCCTCTAAGTTATAGTTCGTCTGCAATAAAATTACTTACATACATTAAGTAATAGAAATATATAAAATTTGAAAGAAAAATAATTACAAGGTAGGATACATACCGACAACTGGCCGCGAACCTTCATCTTGATCTTGTCAAGCATGACCTTCTAAGAGTTTCAGTGCATCGGGCAATGGGTCCGAACGACGTGGCCAATGTCGTGGGCCAAGGAGCTATGCAACTCCGTTGTCGGTGCAGCCCAATAGCGCTCGTCGTATCCAATGCTGATACGACTGTTGGTCACCTGGGTGACCTTGGCCTTCTTCAGCTGCCGACACGGCCCTCAGGTGTTCTTCTTGGCTGCAATGAGATATGACAATAATGTTCAATAAATAACAAATTTAACTATAAAATTCAGAATATAAAAAGTTAAAAAAAGAACTACAGTTGAAGGGATATCTATACCTGGCTGTGACCCCGAGGCAACAGTACCGTCGGTCGACGTAGTGTCGGTGGTGCTTGCGGGCCGGTGCCGCCGCCTAGTACTAACAGGCTACGCCACTGATGAAGCTGATGGCGCAGGCACCTGGGACACCCCTGACAGTTGGTCCATCAGCGTTGGAGCAGTGGCAGCAGATGCCGACTGAGCCAGGGGCTCTGAACTCGGTGTAGTCGTCACCGACCTACGACATCTAATCAGATCTGACATCTGCACAATTTCCAAAAGAATAACCTAGGGTTTACGACTTCGAAGTATCCGGGACTCCGATCCACAATCCGTCAAATCCTACACGATCCTAGAAATACAAGGTACAACATATGTGAGTTTGAGTTCGATCCAACGGTCCGAACATATCAAACCTGGAAATCGCACAATAGGCGAAATCCGTTCGAGACTGAAATGGTAACCAAATTAAAATCTGAGCACACCTACGTGCTCGTGACAAATAGGGGATTGCTCTGGGACCCAATGCCCCACTGTCATAGTCCCCACATGGGTGTCCAAAGCGATAACAATCGCCAGAAATTTCTAAAAACTAAGGGCCAAGGTTCCTACCCTAGGTTCATAACATCATTTAGAGGCACTTTTGTTCTCGGACCTACCCCAAAAAATGGCCGGAAGTGGCTAGAATTTAAATTCAAAAACCGGCCAAAACCTAGGGTTTAAATTCGAGACACCTATTCACACAATTATCCAAATCCTAATCAACCATCAACTAGAGCACAAGAAGTAGTCCAGAAACCGTACCTCAGGCGTCGGAATTGGTGGCCGGAGGAGAGAGAATACAGCCGGCGCAGAATCTGCCAAACGAAGCTTTTTCCGGCGGAATCTTCAACGGTGACAGCGGGGGAACCTCTGGGCTTCAACGGTGGTGGCGGCCCGGTCCTTTTCCCGGCGGAGCATTGGGCTGGGGTGACGGCGGAGAGAGAGGGTGTTTAGGGCAAAGAGAGGAAGTGAGGAAGAAAGGAGGTAGTCTCGATTTTTCTGAAAATTTCTTGGATCTTGCGCGACGAAGAACACAATGCGTCGCGCATACTCCGTTTTAATGAACCTTGAGAGATGGAAAAAACAAAAAACCGTTGCGCAAGGTTGTTTTCTGCCCAAATTTTCATTACATTCCGCCCAAATTTTGAAGACTTTGCGCGACGAGGTGCAAAACCGTCGTGCAATCTTGTTATGCCGCTAGAAATATTAGGGTTTATTGAAAGGTATGACCACTTTGTGCGACAAATAAATTGCGTATTCGTCGCACAAGCTTGTTATGCCACCAGAAATTTTAGGGTTTAGGGTTTATTGAAAGGTATGACCACTTTGCGCGACGGATAAATAACATATTCATCGCGCAAGCTTTTTATTATGCCAGAAATTTGTAATATATCGCTTAGGAATAGTGAAATTACGGTTTTGCCCTACTTATGTTCTTTGTTCTTTTCTGTCCTATTAGGCAGCACAGTAAAATGACCGTATTGTCCCTCTCTCTTTTCAATTAATTTTTTCCCTTCTAAACTTTTTTATAACACATTTAAAAAAGTACTGCAACTCACAATGAGTACTTTGTTTAATTCACACATCGCTAAGTAAGTAGTCGGCCGAGAAAAAAGGTACCTCTATA